TCTGCGGCGGATCCCTCATCAACGACCGATACGTCCTCACCGCCGCCCATTGCACCGAAGTGAGTAAGGGAGTGGGAGGGAAGCAACTGAGCGAGTGACCAAGGACGAAGGAAGACTTTTTCAAATCTTATCTTCTCTTAAAGATTATCTTTTAGAAAGTTACTCATAACAGTAATTGTGGCGGTGGTGATAATGGCCTTTGTTTGCAGGGTATGAAAGCGGCTGACCTGACCATCCGTCTGGCCGAACACAGGCTGAGCACTTCCTCAGAGACCAGTGTTGTGAGCAGGTCCGTGTCTCAGATCATCGAGCATCCGGACTATCAGCCGGGTAACGAGATTAACGACATCGCTCTCATCAAACTGTCGTCGCCAGTCCAGGTGAGCCATTTCACTAGCGGTTCAAGCGATACAAATGGTGCACATACCGCACTCTTTGAACGCGTTTCATCCATAGATTTGTTTGCTATTAAGAGAGAAGATTCAGTGCTACCGAGATGACATGTCTTATTTTCAGGTGAGCGACACAGTGTTGCCAGTGTGCATGCCGCCACCCAACCCACATACGCCGGCAAGACAGCCACTGTCACAGGTTGGGGAACCACCAGCTCCGGAGGCTCGTCTTCAGACACACTCAGGGAAGTGGACGTCACGGTCAGTACACGAACACGGGTGCTTCAGTTAAACAGTGGATATGAGGTCACATTATAACCTAGTGTATTCTTCCCGTTACGGACTAAGTTTTTTCTGTGCAAAATAATGGCGATGACCTTTACAGCTAGACCATTAACTGCCTTCTTAACGTTGTTCACTGAGTGCAGGTGGTGGCCAACACCGCGTGTCAGTCCAACAGTTACGGAAGCGCCATTAAGGACACCATGTTGTGCGCCGGAAGCACAGGCAAGGACTCGTGCCAGGGAGACTCCGGCGGCCCTCTGGTGTTCAAGGACGGAGGCGGAAACTACGACCAGGTGAGTGGGCGAAGGCGCGCATGAATCGCTTGGTGGGGTCTCGCATGACTAACTAGACTTGTATGTTTTATGAATAAAGGTAGATTCAGATGGAATTAATTCCATGAGTGTAAGTAGATTTGAAATGGTTTGCTGAGCGAAATCTGTAGAGAATATGGCATAGCTTGACCGATTTAATGCGATGTGCAAGCAGGATTGATAATCTGAGCATACCCTCTTGTCCTCTTGACTTGCGATTAACTTCCAACCCACACAGATCGGCGTGGTGAGCTGGGGCTATGGGTGCGGAGCCCGAGGCTACCCGGCGTGTACACCCGCGTCAACAGCTACCTCGACTGGATCAAAGCCAACACAGGAGATGGTGTTTACTGCAGAGGAATGCGTCTGTAGTCTTGCCACTCCTACTCTGCCACGACCGCCAGTCCGGGTCGTGAGGAAGAAAGCGAACCGTCGATAACACTTCACCATCGAGCATGAATGAAAGCCAAATCATGCACTAGACTCTGACATAAGACAATAAAGAATTTTCAAAAAAAACACAATAGGTTTTTATTTATCATTTTCACTCTAATTGTATGTAAATACTTATCCATACATTATTTCAAAGGAAAAAGTCCATCACCATCGACAACGTGATTAATACGTAATGAGAAATTAAATAAGCAACATTTATCTTTCTTTTTCATTCTGTCCTTTAAGAAATTGTAACTATGCATGAGCTATTTTCAGTTCTTTTTAGCTGTCTTTCCCTACTCAATCAAATTAGATCCTTTGTATTGGTACCATTTCGCTGGTTTTAAAATCTAGATCATTATTAGTTCACTTATTCTGACATGCGATGGCATAAGTGGCATGAGTTTGGCAGTAAAGGAAATAACAGGCTATTTTAAAAGCTACCAAGCTTGAAAACGGTCTTAAAGGGTGAATGTCTATACTGAAATAAGCCGTACTTAGGGAGTGGGATATACTCATGATGCACAACAATGAAGGTATTCGTTTCAGGCTAATTCAAGAAAATAAATAAATGACAAATTAGAAATACTTTCGTATACTGATGCAAAACAGGGTGCTCACAGATCGGTGTATATGTATACATACAGACATTATATATATATATATATATATACATATATATACACATATATATATATATATATACATATATATACATATATACACATATATACATATATATATACATATATATATATACATATATATATGTATATAGTATATATCCACATACTAGTTGCTCGAGCAGAAAATTGCTTTCTGGAAATGAACAAGTGTACAAAGAATACAGTAACTACAAAGAGTACACCATTTGACCAAAGATCCTTTGTTTTTTATCCCATCTATAAAATTTCAATCCTGAAGTTTCATCTTGACACTTTGATTTCGTTTTCGCTGGAGAGGGACCACTACAGGGATATAATCGGCAGGCACTCGACTTGGCTTCGTTACGTAGATGAAGTCCCCGTCATTGTCCCCGGAAGGTCGTGTCTGCACCATACGCTGACGCGGCTGAACTCCGTCCACGAGAAAATCCAGTTCACCGAGGAGGAAGAAGAGGATCAGAAGTTACCTTTCCTGGACACTCTGATCCATCGGGGTGATGAAGACCTACATTTTTCTGCATATAGGAAGCCGACTAATAAAGTTGATCCACTATTACTCCGCACACAGCAATAAAACGAAATCTGGTTGTGATTGGGTTCTTCCTCCGGGCACTGAGGATTTGCAGCCCTCAAGTTCCTTAATAGTGAAGTTACCTATATAATTGATTCTTTCATGAAACACTGTGATGTCTTCTAATTTTCTCGTATTACCTCCATTTAATCTCTCCCAGGCGATCAGCAAATACTTTGGCAATACAATGAACATCGCCAGCACATCCGGGGAAGAGATACATGACCTAATACGACAAAAGAAACAACAGAAAAGCAAAGTGCAGTATACCGCATACCCTGCAGCAGTTGCGATAAGGCATACTATGGTGAAACGGGACGTGGCTTCAACACCAGGATCTACGAACATCGCGCCGATGTCCGTCACCATAGAACTTCCAACGCCATGGTGGTTCATGTAGATGAAGCTGGACATCTACCGACCTGGAAAGAAGCTGAAATAATCCATGATGGATTAAGCAAATACAAAAGGAAGGTCATGGAAGCTGCATACATCGCGACAGAGAAAAATATGAACACCGCATCAGGTAAATTCAAACTATCAAATTCGCGGCAGCAATTATGCTTACAACGAGCGCGAGGTCACGATCATCAGTGATTCATCAGCTCCCATGTTATAAATGTGCTGTGTATTCTCCCAATGTAAACTTCCAAGTTAGTACAGTGGTAACCTGTCCTTCTCATCGAAGGGTCGCGGTTCGCGCCCCGCCCAGCGCGAGAAGTTGCAATTGTCCCGGAGGTTACTGCTGTGGCTGGCACCCGGTGGGGTAAGGACTAAGCTCTGTTGCGTCAGCACTCGCTGACACATGTTGATCGAGTCGACATTTGTCGGCACAGGCCGGGCTTCCCCATAGCCCGGGCGAGGCTCAGCTTCGCATATCGGACTTATCCTTATCCTAAATGTATGTATTTCTGACGAAGATATAATCGAAACCGGTTAAATACATCTCTTGTACTGTGAAGATTTTCGTTCTTATTCATACCTTTCCACAATTGTCAACATGAATACGGTTCATATATATAAAAGTTGGAACGAAATCAAAGTGTCAAGATGAAACAGTATTGAAATTTTATAGATGGGAAAAAAACAAAAGGAATATTGTTTGTGTGTAAAGGATCTTTGGTCAAATGGTGTACTCTTTGTAGTTACTGTATTCTTTGTACACTGGTTCATGTTCCAGAAAGCAATTTTCTGCTCGAGCAACTAGTGTGTGCGGATATATGTATATATAAAATGTATATATAATGTATATATATGTATATATAATGTGTATATATGTATATATAATGTATATATGTATATATAATGTATATGTGTATATATAATGTATATATAATGTATATATGTATATATATGTATATATGTATATATATTATATATATATATATATATATATATATATATTATAATATATATATATATATATAATGTCTGTATGTATACATATACACCGATCTGTGAGCACCCTGTTTTGCATCAGTATACGAAAGTATTTCTTTGTCATTCATTTATTTTCTTGAATTAGCCTGAAACGAATACCTTCATTGTTGTGCATCATGAGTATATCCCACTCCCTAAGTACGGCTTATTTCAGTATAGACATTCACCCTTTAAGACCGTTTTCAAGCTTGGTAGCTTTTAAAATGGCCTGTTATTTCCTTTACTGCCAAACTCATGCCAAACTTATGCCATCGCATGTCAGAATAAGTGAACTAATAATGATCTAGATTTCAGCAGGGCTAAAACGGATTTCATATTTCTAGCCACACAAAACAAGAAATTTTTCATTTTTTCTAAGATTAAAGTACCAATACAAAGGATCTAATTTGATCGAGTAGGGAAAAGACAGCTAAAAAGGAAACTGAAAATAGTTCATGCTTAAAGCATGGTCACAATTTCTTAAAAGGTTGAATGAAAAAGAAAGATAAATGTTGCTTAATCACATTGTCGATGGTGATGGACATTTTCCTTTGAAATAATGTATGGATAAGCATTTACATACAATTAGAGTGAAAATGATAAATGACAATCTATTGTGTTTATTTTGAAAGTTCTTTATTGTCTTATGTCAGAGTCCAGTGCATGATTTGGCTTTAATTCATGCTCGATGGTGGTGTTATCGACGGTTCGCTTTCTTCCTCACGACCCGGACTGGCAGTCGTGGCAGAGTAGAAGTGGCAAGACTACAGACGCATTCCTCTGCAGTAAACACCATCTCCTGTGTTGGCTTTGATCCAGTCGAGGTAGCTGTTGACGCGGGTGTACACGCCGGGGTAGCCTCGGGCTCCGCACCCATAGCCCCAGCTCACCACGCCGATCAGTGGCTGAATCCTGATCGAAT